CTTTCCTTAATGGAGATCTAGAAGAAGAGATCTACATGGAACAACCAGAAGGGTTTATAGTTCCTGTGCAAGAAAGGAAAGTATGTAAACTTGTTAAGTCATTATATGGTCTCAAACAAGCACCAAAAGTATGGCATGAGAAGTTTGACCCGGTAATGATGAACTCTAGGTTCAAATTTAATGAATCAGACAAGTGTGTTTATCTAAAAAAACACAACTCAAGGGTATGTCATGTTGTGCCTATATGTAGACGATATTCTCATAGTTGGTAGCGATGACAAGATGGTCAAGTCTACCAAAGACATGTTAAACTCGCGATTTGACATGAAAGATATGGGTCTGGCTGAAGTAATTATTCTTGGAATTAAAATTGTTAAGGAAAACTGGGGATCTAGCACTGAGCCAATCCCATTATTTTGATAAAATCCTTGACAAGTTCAACAAGGATGACGTTAGAGTAGCAAAGACGCCATTGGACGTCAACGCACACCTGGCTAAAAACCAAGGTTCTAGTAACTCTCAAATCGAGTATGCGAGAGTTATTGGAAGTTTGATATATCTAATGAGTTGCACTCGACCAGATTTAGCCTGTGCCATAAGTAAGCTGAGTAAATACACCAGCAATCCGAGTGATGAGCACTAGAAGGCTATTGTACGTGTGATGAGATGCCTGCGGTATACACGTGACTATAGATTATGCTACTCGAGATATCCACCGGTACTGGAAGGATACTCAGATGCGAATTGGATTTCTGATAGTAAAGACTTGAAGTCCACAAGTGGATATGTCTTTACGCTAGCGGGTGCAGCAATATCTTGGATTTCCCAAAGCAAACAGTGATTTCTAGGTCCACCATGGAGTATGAGTTTATAGCTTTAGACAAATATGGAGAGGAAGTTGAATGGCTACGCCACTTCCTAGAGGACATTCCAAGATGGGATAAACCGGTCCCACCAGTTTGCATCTATTGTGATTGTCAATCAACAATAGGACGTGCAAAGAGTAATATGTATAATGGTAAGTCTAGACATATTCTTCGTAGACAGAAAACCATTAGACAACTTCTTACAACTAGGATTATCACGATTGACTATGTGAAGTCAAAAGATAATCTGGCGGATCCGCTAACCAAAGGGTTAACAAATGAGTTGCATGAGAAGTTGATGGCAGGAATGGGTTTGAAGCCCTTGTGCTAGGACAGTCCTATGAAGGAAAACCCAACGTGGCTAGTACCTAGGTTCAATGGGACAACCTACTTGTAGGATAAAGCGTGGTCACTGTGGGGGCGGTACCGGAACCTTTGGTCAGTCCCTTCTATTCCTGCTAAAGACAGTGACTCCCGAAAATGATGAGGTTAGCATATAAAAAATGCTTTAATGATTCTTAACCAATAGACACGGTGGTCTAAGGGGAGTAATCGGGATACTCTTAAAGAATCACCTATGTAAGAGTGAAGTGTGGTCGCTTCAAACGGAGGATCTTGGGCTTAATCCTCTAAACACTCTCGCAGAACCAGGCGCGTGTCCCACGACCAAAATGGGCACAACCATGAGAGCAGAACGGTGTTTGGTTGGAATCTGTGTATGGTATACTATCGTTTACACAAGCGGCAGTACAGTTCAAAGACATCGCATTCTACTGAACAGCGAGTAGGCATTAAATGCGGGATTGTTGTCGACCCCCAAATCAATTTTTCATTCATGTGGGGGATTGTTGGAATTTTTGGCTTTTTTAATAGGCATTAAATGGACCAACTTGGGTATATTTGTCAATAGGTCCACTAACGGTTTTAACCATTAATTAATTGACGTGTGTTCTCTTTATCAGATAAATGGTTTGACAATTTATACGCCAAAAATGGTAGAGGGTGAATGAGAAATTGATTCTCAGAGTTAACCCGCTAATAAAAGAATATCGTAAGGATTGCAACTTTTGCAATTTTACTGAACCAATCTTCTTTTATTAATTTTACGTATTGTTTAAAATTAGTCTATTTTTACGGAGTTAACTGGCCATTAATCTCCAATTATTCGGGACAAATTTTAAACGGAGCGTAGCGTAACGGACGTGTTAATAGCTAATTAATCACCATTAACACGGTATTAAGTGTGCCACAAATGCCATGGGTTAATGGTGTAGGAGTTACATTTTTTAAAATGGCTTGGTTATAAAATCAAAGGCTCTCTCCATTCTCTTCATTGGTTTTCACACGTGAGAAAGAAAGAAAAGAAGGAAAAAAAATTCTTGTTTAATTTTTAGAGAGAGCTCTTGATTTTCTGTCCAAGTTTCCGGCCATTCCCTTCAAAGTTTTTGGTCGCCAACGTTCCTACATTGTTCTTGTTCGTTGGTGTGTGGTTGGTCCGTACAATCTCCACACACGATAGCGGTTTTAACCTGGGAGGAGAGTGTCCACGTTTTTCCGGTATGGTAGGCAGGCACTATCACCTTATGGACAGGTCCGGCAACTCTGCTGTCCTTCCGTGGTGTTTTCTTTGCAGGACTAGTTCATAAAGACCTCGCTGCATTCTGTCCTAGTGCATAATGTCCTCGCAGCCCAGTGCATAATGTCCTCGCAGCCCTGTGCATAACGTCCTTGAATTGCTGTCCAGTGCTTAAAAACCTCGATGTCCAGTGTTTAAAGACCTCGTTGTCCAGTGCTTAACGTCCTCGCTGTCCAGTGCTTAACGTCCTCGCTGTCCAGTGCTTAATGTCCTCGTACAACAAGGCCGTTTGAAGATATAGACATTTATTTTCCAACTTTGTTTATTTTGTAATATTCTGAATAAATTATAAATTCAGAATTTTATTTATTTTTTATTTCCGGGGCCGTTCATCTTCCTCGTCCGTTGTAATCTGTACAAGAATTGTAACACTATATAAGCTAGTACTCATCATTAACTTGATTACTCATCCCAATGGGACAATGTAAGACACAATTTTTTATCATGTGGCCTGAATTATCATTTATCTAATTAATTTATCATTGACCTAATAAATATCTTACGTATTTAATTGATAACTATTCAATGGACGTAATTATCTTTATGACTTAATTAAGGTTTCTCCCTGGGTGTATATATTGAGGTCATTAGGGAGAGGCTAACACACCAATCTTATGCCTCCCCTCTGCCTCTCTATTCTACTGAGTCTCATCCTCACCTTAGCCATCATAATAATACACCCTTGAGGAGAACTTGATTTCCATCCGAATCATGAATATCAGGATTATCACGTACACATGATCTAATTCATGTTAGAATAAAGGCTCAACGCTAGAGGGGGGTGAATAGCGTTTAAAACAAAATCGCAAGAAATTAAAAACGAGAGCGATAAAGTAAAGAGCGTAAGGAAGGAGCACACCGAATTTTATCCTGGTTCACCACAACGTGTGGCTAATCCAGCCTCCCGAGAGACTCTCTCGAGCTACATTAACTCCGTTAAGCTTAAGGGTGCTCAACAAACCGATACAACTTGAGAACTCGAGTCACACGAGCCTCAACGCCTTTGCTCGGAGATACCGCCATCCAAGACTTCTCACGAAGGAACAAAGAACTTCCTTCGAGTTTACAACAAGGGAGCAACCTCCCTTAAAGTGTATGAAAACACTTAAACACTCAAGAATAAAACTCTCACAAAGAGTAGATATGAGTGAACTAGTATACGCTCAAGAACACGACAATTTCTTCAAGAATTGGCTCTCAAATAGCTTAGAAAAATAGGAATGTTTATGTAATGAAAGAGTATTGAAAATGTTGAAGAATTGTGTGAAAAATGAGAGGATTTGGGTGCCATTTTATAGCCCAAAATGGGATAAATCTGTTGCTAGAATTTCCAACAGGATGAAGACAAATTTTTCAGAGACACATGCTGATAGTCGATTATCCAGGCTTGATAATCGATTATCAAAAGATTCCTTGTCCAAAAATTTAAAATTCTATCCGTTGGAGGACAACGGTAACCCAGATAATCGATTGCCAACAGGTGATAATCGATTATTGGTCCTCTCAGAAGTTTCTGGGTTTTGGCTGCACAGGTTGATAATCGATTATTGCATAATAATCGATTATTGCGTGCTTTAGAACATTGGAGTTCCAAAGCTGCAGGGGCTGATAGTCGATTGTCACTAAGGTGATAATCGATTATCACCCAGCTAAAGTCTAGCCAGCTGAAACCCGTTTTGAAAAACCGAGGTCCAAAAACGAAGTGTTCCCAAAAGTAAAAACCAAGTTTGAAAAATATTGTATATGGTATAAAATAGTGAAACCAAGACTTGTTTGGTAAAAAACCAAGTCTCCAAGGTCGTAAATCACGTGTGTACGGTTTTGACCGTTTCTCACGTGTTAGACCGATTGACCAAGATACAAAAGTGGTTTTTATGAAATAATTATTTGGGAACCTTTTAAATATGCTCGGAGATAAAAAAAAGGTTTAAAACATAGAAAACCACCGAGTTGGTTCAGGCGCCAAAAAACCGAACGCCGAACACCGTACGCCGACTTAGGTGATTTTGGTTCTGAGCAAGGACCAAGGATTTTAACAAAAAAAATTATCAAAAATGTTTATTTTGATGCACAAAAATATTTTATGATTTTTTAAAATTTTTTTGACTCTTTGAGAACTGAGACTTGGAATTGATTATCGTTTTTGATCACAAAAGACTGACTCGACTAAGTCTTCAATTCTTGATCTTGTCCTTGAGTCTTTTGGGTCTTGTTCCATGCCATTCTTCGCGCCTTGAGTTATTCAATGAAACTCTTTATATCCACGGCAGTTTGGCAATTATCAAAACCTGTCAGAAATGAACACGACTTTAGTTAAACGTGCAAAGTGTGTTCCAACAATTTCTCCTTTTTTGATAATGGCAAATAAGACGGGGATATGCATAGGATTTTGTTCTTTTTGAAGAAAAAAAATTCCCCCTTAATAAAATTCCCCCTGGATATATGCATAGCCCTTATCTTCCCCCTTTTGACATTAACAAAAAGATTTTTAATAACGAAAACCATAAAGATTTTTATTAATTAATTACGGGAAATAGCGGAGTACATAACGGAAGCAAATTTAAAAAGAATAAAGAAGAGAAGGGAATAGAGCTAGAGCTCTAGAAGTCCGGTGAAAGATCATTGAGAAGCTGTTCTTCGTCAATGTCTTCGTCTTCCTCTTCATCACCACTGCCATCATCATCATCATCATCTTCTTCTTCTTCTTCAGCTTCTTCGTCTTCCTCTTCTTCTTCTTCTTCAACGTTCACCGCTTCTTCTCTTCCAACGTCGTTAGTCCCACTTGGTTCACCACCTAGGTTTGGCGGAGGAACATAAGGGACCATTTGAGCGTAAGGGTAGTTGACAAAGTCAAAATACCCGTGAAGCTCACGGCTCAGAATATTGACGTTATGTGCCGTTTTGGAGACGTTGGTGTCTATCCGAGAAAGGGTGGTGGTCAAAGCCGCCATTTGCTCGGCGAGAGAAGGATTGGCCGAAGCGGCGGCAGTCGAGGCAGTGGCTCTCAGTTGGCGGCGAGGATGAGGCTGCGGGAACGTAGCTTCATCGGTTCCCGGGTGGAAGGAAGACTCGTCAATCTCCCAATGCTTCATTCCTTTGCATTTTGGCCCGACGTCCGTCTTGATGTGGAACTCATCAAGGATCGCCATGACAATGAGAGCATAGGGGAGCGGCCGGTTGTCGGAGGTGGCGTTGAACATGTGGGTCATCACAAATTTACACCAATTGATATTGGCGTTGTGAATCATCGCATGAATTGTCTTCGTGTCCTCTTGGGAGAGAGTGGTGTGATTGAACTTCTTAGGCTTGAGAATCCGTGTCAAAACATAAAAAATGAATCGAAACACAGAACTCATGGAAGTAATCGTAGGGCGCCGCTATTGGGGAGTGGGGACGAAGTTTCGTATGCCCACTTCCTCCAAGAGGGCGGTCTCGTTGAACCGCGCTCCTTCTTCTCCGACGTAGAGCCCGAGATCCTGTCCGTCCCGACGAAGCCCGGTGAGGATTTGAATGTTTTCCTCATTCAAATAGATGTCCACCCCGTTGACGTTAGAAATCAACGCTCCGTCCTCATCCTTTTTCAAGTTCGAAAAGAAAGCTCGAACAAGAAAAGGGTGATAATGAGCCTTCTTGATGTAGAGGAGGTCGAGGAAGTTTCCACGTTCGAGGATAACCCGTGCCTCACGTGGAATGGAATCATGAATGAAGCGGGCGGTGGAGAACCGGGGAGGGAGAATTTCCCGGTGCTCAAACTTCTCCGAGAACCTCGCAGCCTCTTCGCGGTCGTTGAACCAAAGGAACGACCCGTCGAGATACTTGTGCGCAGGTGGTGGAGGAGCCGAGGAAGAAGCCACGTTCTTGCCGGTGCGGGATCTTTTTCTTTGACCTCCTGCCATTTCAACAAAGTAGAGAGGGAGTAGAGAAAAATTGTAGAAAATTTGGCTAAGAGTTGAAGAACAATAGCAAGAATGATGAATTATGATGAATATATGGAGAAGAGATGATTGGAATGAGTAAATATTGAGTAGATATCACCAATTTATAGAGTAGAAGCTTTGGAGATTCGTAGAGGTGGTCAAACAGGCATTAATTGCTCTCCAAACAGCTAGAAAACAGTCAGATTTTTGAAAATCTACCGTTGTAAATAGATTTACATAACCTGTAAATCGATTATCTGAGTTTTCAGATTCTCCGCCGAAGGAACTGCACGCTGCGATAGTCGATTTACACAAAACGTATAATCGATTGTCGTGGTTTGTGCCTGATTTGCTTCAAACTTCTGTGGGCAATGATAGTCGATTATCCTAATGTTGATAATCGATTACTGGCTCCTTCAGTTTCTTTGCTCCAAATTTCAGCGGGCTGTGATAGTTGATTATCACAAGCTTGTAAATCGATTTACACCAAGTCTGGAGACAAAAAAAATCGATTTGCTTTGTTCCCCCTGACTTTGACACCTGAAAATAAAATTAAAAAAAGAGCCCTGCAAAAAAGAATTAAAAACGTCTCCGACGTTCAAGTTAGTAAGGACCTAAAATAATAATTAATGCACAACTTAGATCATCGTGGAGTCAAGGATTCCGAGTTCACTACGAATGCGGAAGAACGACTCTTTCTCTAAAGGTTTTGTGAAAATGTCGGCTAATTGGTTGTGTGTTTCAACGAACTCAATTTCGACATCACCTTTGAGAACATGATCTCTAATGAAATGATGCCTAATGTCAATATGTTTCGTCCTTGAGTGAAGAACCGGATTCTTC